ATTAGTTGTTGTCTATTCAGTACTGCTGCAGTACTTTTTCTTTTTCTTCAGGCACTTCGTGACCACTGTGATTCTACTTGCAAACAGCAATGCAATAGCACATGGATTCCAGCAGGGATAACAGACACACTTGCTTGAAGTTTCTTACCAGAACACGTGCAAATGGTTAAAATTCATTTTCTATGTTTAGAAAAGTTAAATATAGAGGTACATCAGGTAAAACTCAGAATATCTTCGTTGAAGTCAGTGAAATTCCACAGAATCACAGAATGGCAAATTCTAGACATTTTAAACAGTTAAATATAAGATTTCATATCTGAGTGCTGAAAGGTGGAGCTGTCATGGTAGGTGTCTGTTCAGATTAGAGCATTATGTCCCTTTTATTGTCTGTACCACCATTCAAATTCTGCAGTGCCGAGTTGTGAAAATCACCATCCTGTAGATTAGGAAATATCTACCTTGTTTCAGAGGAATATCCTTTGTGAGCGCTTGCTAACTAATGAAAAAAGATGTGCCCAATCTGTCTCTCAGTTTAGACTGAAAAATTGTTGCTGTTGACTGTGATTTTAAATGATGTGTAGTGCATCCTTACTGACAAATGGTGGTGTCGTTCCAAGAAATGCTACATATGGTGCTTCTGGAAGCCACATAAGAGTGTCTTTCATATAAAGACACAGAACATCAGAGATTGTAAAAAGTTTTAACACTGACTGTAAGTTAGCAATTAAATAAATATGGTGGCTCTGAAAAAGATAATCCGCTCTTAATTTGAATTTTGAACTTTAGAATTTAGTCCAGAGGGCTCCAAAGCATACTAATTTGGGACAGCTAAATACCATTAATATTATTACTTGCCAAATAAAAAAAAAAAATTATAATTTTTACGTAGCTCTCAATTTTGTTTCAGGGAAATAAAAGCAAAAATGAAAAAGCCATCAAATTGAGTCTATTAAGTGGAAGACTGGATTCTGAAACTGTTATGTGGAGAACTGTAGCTCTGTACTGCTAAGAAGATAGGACATTAATGAAGTTTTTGACAAGCAGGCTTTGCTTTCTATTCTGGATGAGGTTAAGAAAAGATGGAAAAAAAGACTTTCCCAAAGCATCAGTAATTTCAAAGCAGAAGTATCATCTCAGAGTGACTGAACTAATCTTCCACTATTTCAACATATTTCCAGCGTAGAAATGATGCTTTTGATGCTAAGGTGTCTGTAATAGTGTCTGTGACAATCAAATAGAGCATTCTCTTTATTAGTTCTTCATCCCTTGATAGGAAAACCCATTTCTACCTGCAGTAGATAGCTCTGCCTAAAGAGATGACAGTCGCTCCCTGAAGAACAATGACAAAATTTTGCCCAGATGGTACTGCAAAAAAAACACATATGGATGATGTGCACTAGCAAAGGAGATGATAATCTAAAATTTTAGCTTATATAATCTCAGTTTTGCCTGAAGTTACACCTCACCAATGAGAGCCTCACAAAAGAGCTATGTAAATGTTATAAATCAAGTAACAATTGAATTCAGAATTAGGATCATTATAGTGAGGAGCTGAGGAAGCTAAGGAACATGAGTTGAAACTTTTTCGACCCTGCTACGGTAAAAGCTTCACTGACACAGTGACTTTCATATACAAATGTAGAGTGGTTTACCAATTTACAGATCTTACACATTTTATCACAAAATAATGAAAAAAGGGACTCAGTCTTGTGCTGTCCTCTCTCCACAAAGCATGTTGTCTAAAGGAATGTACTTTATAATCCAAACTAAAAAATGTTTATAAATGTCTAATCATTTCTGCCCTCTATCTGCTTTGTGATGAGGTGTTTCAGGTAATGTGACACATCCAAAGAACCTCTCTGAACTTCAGGCTGAATAGTAGTTATATACCTACTAATTACAAGCATAGCTAATTCCTGCAGTCTCAAGTAACAAGATGAGAAGGGATTGGACCAGATGACCTCCAAAAGCACCTTCCAACTCTAATTACTCTGATATGAAGTCTCAGATTCACATTCCAACCCCTTAAATTGTCTGTTTTTCAAATAGCAAAACTGTGCATACCTACATTGGTCTCAAACACATCTTACTACAACATTAATGTGAGAAGTAGGAATATCTCAATGAGTGAGATTTTACTGTGATGTCCAAAACATTAACTTTCAAAAAACTTACTGTTATCTGCAAATAGGGAAGCACATGTGCCTTTGCTTGTCTCTGTTGCTAGACATGAAAACTTCTAGCAGTCAAAAATAAAAACAGATTTCTGTGTGTATTTAAGTATAATCTGGACTTTACCAAATTTGTTCTGGATATTAAAAGCTCTTGCAGAATTTAGGCCATATAATCAGAAGGACTGATCTGAAAGTCTTGAGGAGATGAAAAGGGCTTTGTCATTATAACTTTCATTAGTATTAATGGCACTTGCACTGCAAAAGCTCTGCTCATCTGGATATAGATGCACTCCTGATCGTTCTGGCTGCTATGCAATTTTACAAAGACAGACATTTAGGCAATTGGATATCCATGTTGACTTATGATCTACTTGGAATTCAGATAAAAGATGGAATTTGGTGGCTTTATCCTTAGTTGCATTGGCTGTATTCCCCTCCCTCTCTTCCATGCTAATCTCATAAAATATTTGTTGCAGTTTGAGATTCAGAGTGTCAAAATGGTTTGGAATGACAGATAAGCAAACAAATAGCTATTATTTTCCTACAAATCAATACCAAGGGAAAGAAGTGCCTGCAGGCTGCTCTTCAATAAGGTTTTTCTAGATTTGAGAGGTGTCCCAGACAAGCATGTGGTTTTTCATCTTCTCATTTCACAATGTCCAATATAACGCACTCAGTCCTGTCTGCCTGACTTTGGACACGTTTGCAGCACCTTCATATTCAGGGCCTCGCTGTCTTTGTGAAAGGATGTATTTGATTTGCTTCCTCTTTTCCATTTAGAAAATGATTTCTTCTTGGAGAAGGGATATTTAGCTGACTATACAACAGGAGTATGGTTTTTTATACTTCAAATCATTTTTTCATTTACTCTGAAGACTAAAAACATACAATCTAGTGCCTTCTGTTTGGAATGAATCTATTTAGAAGGATTTCCTTCAGGAGGGGGAACCCCGCTTCAATTATGTTCTTTTGAATTGCAATTAGATCTTTCAACCCTAGACAGCTGAATAAACAAATTTCCCTCACCAATTTAATTATCTTGGCCTGTTTTTCATTACCAGTAGATTACTATGTAGCATACTGCTGTTTAGAATTCAGCCTCTGATTGCCAGTAAAATACTACAGACAGGTTGTGGTCTGAGTTGCCAAAGGGAGGATGGCTGGATGGCTATTGTTTGACATGGAATGCTGAAGCTCCAAGGGATGTATTGCTGATGCAAGATGGGTAAGGTGATGCCTGGAGGCTACAGTAGTGGTATTTAGTACAGGCAATGAAGGTACAGGTTGATGTAGCTTCACCAGCAAGCTCAGTGCAATGCAAGCCTGGCTCTCTCATTCGTGCTGTGTGTTCCTGATTGCTTTTATCCTGTGCACAGTCTCATGCTGCTTCCAAGTTCACTATACCTTCAGCACCTCCTGGGAAAAAGCAGTCTTATGTGATGAGGCCAGGCAGTGCTATGGCTCTTTCTCAGTAGCCTGTGCTGATGGAGGACAAAGAACTGAAAGTCTCTTTCCTACTGAAGTTGTAGTTGTGCCACTGGCTTACACCTCCAAAGGCTCAAGACAGGGGAAGCCCTCAGGCTTTTCACACTGGGTAGGTCTAAGCTGGAGGCATCAGAGAGCACTGTATGGAGGAACATGCAAGGCCAAAGCTGAGCAAAGATCTGTGTTAGAAGAACAGAGATTTTAGACTCTGGGACTAATTATTCCTTCGCTATCACTCCCACGAACACGATCGGCTGTGTCTGCTTTCTTCACATGTGCCAAACACGTGCTCTTGACCCCCTACAAATATGCTTCCCTGCACTTTCCCACTTTCGTGCTGTTAAGGAGAGACTACACAAACTCAGTCCCTAATAGGAACATTAATTTTTGACTCATTCATATCCAAACTCCACCCACTTGCTTAAGACATTTGTATTGTCATTAACAGTTTCAATATCCAGCAGAGCTCAAACTTTGTTGTAGAAGAAGGTCAGGGAAGGAAGGCACTGGTATGTTCTGCCAGAAACAATCTTACAACTGTTCAGCACCATTCCGCTCTGATAAGCACTGACATAGCTGGTGATGTCATATTCTAAGTTAGATTCTGTCATCTTCTCTAGACCTGGCAGCACAGACTTCAAGATAGCACAACAACCATTAATGCTAGTCTACATGTTTCTGGTGCTGAACTTCTTTTTTACTGCACAAGGAAGGCTGAATTTACTACATCTGCTGCCATACTGCGCAGAAGCTGAAAAAAAATGATGGATGGACTATTTTTTTTGTGTGTGTGTTCTAGTTAGCAAAAGTGAAAAACACTAGAAAAAATTTATGCTGAACTTTCCAAATGCGCAATAAGCTCAAGTTCATCAGAGTGGAGAGAAGCTGTGTGACTGAATGAATCTAATTATTGTTCTTGTCAGTAATGTGTTGCATCAAATTGTTCTCTCAAAGGAAAGTAATTCAACAACACTGTGTACATACTAAGTGATATTTTGGTGGAGAGTTGCATAAGCTAAATGACAATTAGATTTGTTTTATAATAGGTCCCACCTGAGTCAGTGAGAGGAAAAACAGACATGCCAAAGGTGGTAAGCACTGATGCTTCTCTGAATATACAGAGTATGAGCTCAACCATATTAAAAGATTTTGCTAAAGTGAACTACAACCTCTGCAGTAATGTGTGATCTTTCCTGTGAGTCTCCATTTATAAAGCAGGCTACTTTTCAGTGTTTTGTACAATACTATTGAAATCTGAAGTGTGTATTGTTTCCAGAGAGTTTACCTGCAAATTCGTACTTTTCAAGGCTTTCCATTTCTTCATTTTTATGTCTTTAACAGTTCCACACAAAAGGGAGATGATGATTATGAAGATTACACTTCAAATAAGACCTGGGTTCTGACTCCCAAAGTTCATGAGAGTGATGTCACTCTTATTTTAAATGGCTTGCTGGAAGGATATGACAACAAATTAAGACCTGATATAGGAGGTATGTTGGTTTTCTTTTAAGCCCAACTTTGATTAAGTGGTGAAGGGAAAGCATTTTCATACAATATTATACTGTGCATGAAGCAGAATCCATCTAAAGTGGTTATGAGAACAAGACAAGAGATAGTAAAATATGACTGGCACAAAAAGAAGCCATGATTTTGGAAATCTGCATACATTTTTAAGATTCCTAAATCTCTCCTGAAACAGCTACTAAGACTGTTGTGATTTGCTGAATCAGGCCACATGTAATCATGCACCTGCACAGGATTTTGGGGAATTAGGAAGAGTTTTTTCTTCTTTGTGTGCCTAAGAGAGGTTGTTAGAAAATCGAAAGGATATATATATATATGTCCTTTATCTATATATATATATATATGTCAAAAGATATATATATTGGAAAGGAAGGCCTAAGTAAGGTCTGAATTGACTGATGCCATTTAGAACTGTGGAATGAAAGAATATCCTAAGCTGGAAGGGATCCTCAAGGATTAAGTCCAACTCCTGGCTCCACACAGTACCACCCAAAAATCCAAACCCTGTCTGAGTGCATTGTCCAGATGCTCCTTCAACTCCAGCGACTTGTTGCCATGACCACTGTCCTGGGGAGCCTGTTCCAGTGCCCAACCATCCTCTGGTGACCAACATTTTCCTAATATCCAACCTGACCCTCCACTGACACAGCTCCATGTCGATCTGTTGAATCATTGCTCAGCAGAGCAAGAAGTGACTCAGGAGGTTTCACAAAAGATAAATACAATCAAGTAAATTTACTCTATTTCCCTAGATTTCCCCCACAACTAATGCATGTATATAAACTGGAGCTCAGACCCATAATGGAAATCTTATTTGAAGTGAAACAGCTTTTGCAGGGATGTTTCCATTGATTACTGAGGGACCTGAGAAATAAAGGTCCTTCAGCTCACAGGAGTTAGACTGAGAAGGCCCCATGTGAGCACAGAACAGCCAGAAGATATGTCTGTAGAAGAGGATACATAAATAGCAAGATTGCAGTAAAACAAGAAGAGAATTCACTGGTAGGCAGAGGAACACAGAAAACAGCCAGGTTAATGAAATAATCTTCTAACAAGTTTATAGGGGTTTATAAACTAAAGACATTTAACCTCCAGCACATGTACGTCTAAATTAACAGAGGAATCTGCCTTATTCTCTCTACATTAGAAGGCTGAGAGAAATTAAGCATTCATAAAAAGCATCTGGGAAAACAACCAAACGTGTTTTAGTCAAGGTACGTGAGAATAATAAAGCTGAAGTAATTTCAGAATAAATTATTCTAACGACTGGTTTTATTACCTGTTTTAGAACTTTGAGTATTAATACTATTTGGAGTTCATGAAATTGTCACTTATCTACAGCTATCTCTGCAGGCAACAGCAGTCACATTGCTTTCAGCATAGTAACGTTAAATTAGTGATGCAACGCACTGTGAGAGGAATAAGTTTACTTTTGTTGATAGTGTTTTGTCTGATGTGTTGCTGTGATTTGACATGAAATACACATACTCTCCATTAGATATGACTCACTAAAGTAATGACGCTGGTTTCTGTATTAGTTCTCATAGCATAATTTGTTCTGATATAATTATGTATCTGACAGATATTATACAAGAATAGATATTATACAATAAGTTGTATTGTTCAACTTATTTTAACCTGGAGACATTGCTGTAAAATTATATTTATTCTATCAGCATATTTTAATGTGAGGCATCCATAGCTATACAAGAGAGGTATTAAAACAATCTTTTCATCATTTTGACTCTTTTGCAGTTGACTTTGACCTTCACTCATAGTAGTGACTCTTGTTTCTCTTACAGTTAAACCAACAGTAATTCACACTGACATGTATGTGAACAGCATTGGGCCAGTGAATGCTATCAATATGGTAGGTGAATGCCACATTTTTCTACAATGTTCAATTTGTTGCAAAGCCTCCATCATTTTTGACATTACAAGGTTTCCATAGTTTTAATGTCATATTATATATAAATTATTTTCAAACCTCATTATTATCGATGTGAGGACTAGATGAGCTATGAATCTGGATGAGACAACAAGCTAAACTGTGAATAATAATAATTTTAATATATCTTCACAAATCTACTACCGTATTTTGCATTGTTTTGTGACAGATTAGCTCCGATCAGTTTGAGTTTCCAGATTACAACAAAAGAGGCAAAAGCATTCACCAGTGATACTACCATTCCTGCCATAGAGAAATAAAAGAGGAAAACTTAGACCCTAAGAGCAAAGTTTAATTATGTCTTCGGATAGCTGATGGAAATTGGTCTAGCCTTAGTAGAACAATGGCTACTTGCTTCATTCTTGTAGTTTTAATGTTCAGAAAGAAATCTCAAATGACTCTTTTGCAATTCTACAATTCCCTTTGCAGCAATTGGCTGCCTGGTGGATGCTGGTGAAAGTGAGACTTTCACCACTTTGACATTAATTAACAGTCACAGCCAATAAAGACAATCATATCAGCTGAAATCTTAGCTGTTCTAGGTCCAAGGGAATAAGTAATTGTACTCTAACATGATCAAGTGTGGGTTGAGGCATGGGGGTACAGAATATGTATAGTAGATACATAACTCCATTTTAATGTGGGTTAATTTGTCAATAGGAAAATAATGACAAATATTTTTTAAACAATAATCTTTGTTAAACAACCCTCTCAAAAGTCTGATTAAAAAATGTTTTTATCACTTCTAGTATCATCTGTATTTAATTTTTTGTTTTTCATATGACGTTAAGGAAAGTATGTCAGAAGCAATGTGAAATGTTGAGTGCTATGTTTTCATCAGTATTTCTGGTTAACACAACAGGAATATACAATTGATATATTTTTCGCCCAAACGTGGTATGACAGACGTCTGAAGTTCAACAGCACTATAAAAGTGCTCAGATTAAACAGCAACATGGTTGGGAAGATCTGGATACCTGATACATTTTTCCGAAATTCCAAGAAAGCTGATGCTCATTGGATAACAACTCCTAATAGGATGCTCAGGATCTGGAATGATGGCAGAGTGTTATACACACTGAGGTATTTATACTTGGCTTTAATTTCAGTTTCTCAAGGGAAAACCAAAAAGATGGGTTCTGTGAATACAGGTCACTTGACATCAACACACATTGTTTTTCCCTTACGTGTGCACCCTAAAACGGAGACATATTTAGAATACACTAATTGCATGCAATTTATTTGATACTGACACAGTAAAATAGTTTCATTTCTACTTATAGATTTTACTGCCTTGCTCTCAAAATAGTTATATTTCTATACTTAAAAGAAGATAAGCACGGTTAAAGTAACACATCTTCATTTTCATGTGTTTTATTGTTTACCTGTGGTTTGGACCATATTGCCTAACTTTTTATTGGGTTAAAATAACGAATTAGAAATGTCCTTGAATCAAGGAGATGTTATAAATGAGGTATTATCTGCAGCAGAGGCCTTGTATTCTGAACCAATTACTATTTAGATAGATAAGGCTTCACCTTGACAAAATATTTTATTCCTCAAATATATTATGAGAAAAAGGAATAACTTTTTTTCATTGGTCATTTATAGTTTAGGTCAAATTCTCAGATATGCCCTGTTTCACTAAAATTTCCATGAATCCAAATTTGAAACATCTGTCTTCAGATTTCTCATCAGCCTGGATAATTTTTATTTTGAGACTTTTACAAATCTTTTAAATAATGAAGTTACATGCATTCCTATACTTTGATGTTACATATGCAATGTGTACTAATTAAATAATATATATTCAATTATAATATATTTCCTAAATGTGGAAGTTCTAGGTATGTTTTTTTTGTTGTTTTTCTAAAGTGTTATAGTAGTTGGGCCTAGGTAAAGCAAAGATATGTAAAGCAAAGATGGTATCTGTTCAAGAGAATTCAAAATTTAAAAGGAGAATACAGAATCAAAGATGTTAGCTGTAAGACAGACTATCAGACCATCAGAGTTTCAGACTATTTTTACAAAGTGATTTTGATTTTATGCTCTTGTTTTATTGGGTGGCAAAAAGAAAAAAAAAAGCAGAAAAGTATGCTCATTAGCATTCTAATGAATCATTTGAAGCTTTCCTTAAGACAACCTTTTAATGTTGCAAATATTTGAATTACAAAAAGAGTTTCATTTTGTAGTTATTTTACATTCATTACACATTGCATCACATTGCAAGAGATAAGAGAATGACTGGAATTGAAATCCAAGGTAAATCAAAGTAAGCCTGATAAAGAAGATCCTAGATCAACTTTTGAAATGTTAAATTGGACTTAGATACACTACAGTCTCTTTGGACTTTGTCACCTTTCTCTTCAGACCTCTTGGTTTCCTTCACTACAATGAGATATATGTGACAAAACTTATAGTTGTATCAAATATTTATGTATGCCTAGTTTCTCTGGTGAGTCACAGCAAACACCAGTAAGGATTCAACCTGGTTTAATCCTGAGGAGAAATGTGGTAGTATCATTGCAGATCTGGGATTCTGTTTGAGAGAGATGGTTGATTTCCTCAATTCCTTCTCCCAAACTCAAGAACAGTCAATCCAGACCAGCAAACAAATCAAGCAAGCAGGTCTGCATGGATCAACACAAAGCTCCTGACAAAACTCCTACATGAAAAGAAAACATACAAGAGATAAAAGCTGGGGGAATATAGAGACAGTGCCCAAGTACCCAGATACAGGATTAGGAAAGCCAAAATTCAATTGAAATTTAATTCAGTGATGGACAGGAAAGCACTAAGAGTCCTTACACATGCATCTTCAGCAAAAGAAAGATTAGGAAAAGTGTGGGCACACCACTGAATGGGAATGGGGATCTGGTCTCAAAGAACATAGAAAAGGTCAAGGTACACAAGGCTTTCTTTGCCTCAGACTTTACTGCTAAGACTAGCTTTCAGAAATCCCAAGTCTGGGTCCATAAGACACTGGAGAAATGGGCCAAGATGACTCTGATGGAGTTTAGCATATGAAAATTTGAAGTTCTGTAACAGCAGAGGAATAATCCTATGCATTAAGACAAATCAAGGGGGTCAAACAACTGGAAAATATCTTGCAGGAAAAGACATGAGGATCCTCATGGGCAACCCATTCATAGAGATTCAAGGAGCAGATAAACACTACTGCTTTTTCCTCTCTCCCACTCCTTCCTCCTTTTCAAAGCCTTTTCTTTTGCTGCTTATTTGCTTAACAATTCAGGTATCATGCAGGTCATGCATGACTGAGGCTACATATAGGCTAATTAAATGAAAAATAATGGAGTTTTCAGCAGGCAAATAAGGGAATGCATCTTGTTTAATTTTGGATTTCTAAAAGTACATGTGTCTGCCTCATAAAGATCTGCAGCACCTACACCACTTGATATTCAGTAGAGAGAAAAACCTTTCTGGTGCATTCCTCTTCAGATTTAATTTAGATGTCTATTTTGGAATGAAATCAAGAATATCCCCAGAGTGCCTTTCTTTCCACTAGATAAGAAGATAGTTGAGATGGCTATCTTGGATGCAGATGTCTGAATTTGGTCTCCTGACTATTGCTTCTTAAGAAGTACTTTTTTTTTTTTCCTGTAAAATATGTTTCCATAGTGTTTTTTGGCATGTTGTGACAAAGAAATTTGCTACTACTCATGAGAAGATCTGTGTATCCACTTAGGGATTTGTTAATCATGAGTAATGCTGCTTCAAAAGCAGAAAAACAGTTTGGAATACAAATTAATACACACATACTAATAATTTCCTCTTCCTTTCTATTTCATTGTATGTATGCATATTTCATACTCAGGTTCCATACTCGTAACAATCCTGTTTTGCTAGCCATTATGAAGCTTTTAGTATAAGCTTCTCATGTATGTTCTGTATATCTGATCTTTTTCTCCTCAGACTGACGATTGATGCTGAATGTCAGCTACAGTTACACAACTTCCCAATGGATGCCCATTCCTGCCCCCTGGAATTTTCAAGCTGTAAGTAACATGCTTAGAAATAGCTCTTTCCTGACCCGTGCTGAACTACTTATTAAAAACCTATATACTTAGAGTCAGTTAGGGTTATGTTTTTGCTAAACATAATGCAATAATTTTCAGTTTTATTTTGTATTTATTTGGAAGTACGGAAATCACATGTGCACAAAGATAATTTAAGAACATTATGTAAAATTGATATGACTTCTGCAAACATTGCAATTAATATTTATGCTTAAATTTCAGCACAAAAGTAAAATGTTGTATCTTTAGCATTGGAGGCTTGTGGTCTGATTCTTTCTCTTTGCAAATGGGTGCTATGCTATTCCAAGAGATGGAGACAAGGGTTTGAATTCTGTGTTTAGGTCAAAGAGTGAATACTGAGCCCAACTGAAGTGATTTGGGCCTTAAAACAAACAGATGGTCAAAACTACATCCTATTGCACAATAAAGTGCAAAATTCAATATTGAAAAATGTACCTCAAATTTTACAATAGTAAAAATGCTACATTACTACTACATTTAGTACTACGTAACTAGAGGGAAAAGTATATATGTATATATATAAATTTACTTGCGATATGCTTCTCCAGTTTCTTCCAGAAATAGAAAATAGTATTTTTACTCCCCAGAGTACATTAAAATCCTAGCAATGACTATGAAACAAAGCATTCTGTATTTTCCATTGCAATAAGATGGTTACCCAAGGGAAGAGATCATTTACCAATGGAAGCGCAGCTCAGTGGAGGTGGGAGATACCAGGTCCTGGAGGCTCTACCAGTTCTCCTTTACGGGACTAAGAAATACAACTGAGGTGGTGAAGACAACATCAGGTAAGACACCTGATCTATTTACCAGTATATTTTCTTTTTATGATTTTATTGAAGGAAACTAAGAAGAAAGAAATCTCTTACTGTTTGGAACTTGACATTGGCAATTCACAGAACAGATACAGCCTTTTAAATAAGGAACTATCTAGGCTTTAGTAATTCCTAAGAGGAACTTACAGGAAGAAAAAGTTGCTGCCTGCTATCAGTTCTTGCCTTGTGCTTCTGAAATACCTGGCACTGCCAAGAGACAGCCACTACTGCGAAGGGTGGGTGGGCAAAAGAACTTCCTAGCCTGCGTCAGCATAGGGAACAGCACAGCTGAGTCACAAAGTAATTATCTGATACTGGTTTGAATATTTAATAGTCCTGTTCCCAACACTCACAAGCAGAAAGTTGACCTGGACAGAAATCAAATCCAAAGTCCCAGCCTCTTTTACTATAGCAGCTCCAAGTGTATTTTGTTCATTAAAACAGGGCACATTTAGCTCTCAGTAAAGAAAACAGCCTTGCAAGCCTGAATCTCAGATGACTTTCCTGCATATTTTTATCTCCTTGGAAACAAGTAATGGAATTTAAAATAATAAATGAGGAAGGACTCTGCTTTTAATAAAAATGGCAATTTGAATCCTGCTAGCTTTGCAGAAAGTACATTCTTCTAGACATATGTATTGTTTTATTTGTCAGCAGAAAGGAAATCAGTGAATATGAGAAAGGATGCAAAGAAGAATAACATTTTAATGTTCGTGTACATCATGATATCCCTTGTCTTTGATTCCTTACTTTAATGAAAGCATTTTTTCTTTCAGATTGCTTTTGATTTTCACCTGATTTTATTGCTCTGGCAAATATATTAATTCAAATTCAGATATCTGTGTTTAGTCTGACCTGAGAAATATCCCCATCCATTGGAAAGAATAACACAATTCTTTCTAAAAGGTCAGCATCACTGTTATATTCAAAAGGCAAGTGAGCTACACTAGAGCTGAGAGCAGCCTGCTGTGCATTGCACTGGAGTGCAAACAAAGAGTTTGAGAATTAATTCAGCTCCCAACTCCTGAGTCACTGGATATTAAGCACCACTGGCATGTTTAGTCTTCTGAGCAGGGCAAAAGTGAGATGAAGCCTCCCAGCTGTAGTCACATTTGCCTTATGGCGTCTTCTGCCATTTTAGCTGAGGGAAATATTTAGTCAGCTATTTAGGAAAGCATTTGACCTTTCTCATTTTCCCAGAGAAATAAAGGTGCAAAAGAGGACACGATAGCACTTTTGTGTATGGAGCCATAGCTGCTAGTAACTACCATAGCACATGACATGTTGAAGTTGCTCTCTAAGCAAAAAAAACCCAACCAAACACAAAACAATGCATCTCACCTCAACCTCCCCTGCAGCAATCACAGCACAAAAGCAGCAGTAACCACTAAGGTCTCATCCTGCCCAGGCTTAACACTAGCTTTACTTCAATTACTTGAGTTTCTTTTATTTGCACTTTTTCTTTCCTTTTCTGCTTTGACCCATTCTCTAATAAACTTATTTTGGTCAGAAATAGAAAGCACTACAATTTTAATATGCTACACATTCAGATCCACATCTTGCACTGGTGAATCCAAAGCACTCTCTGATGTTCTGCTGTTGTGTAATGAGATTTACCGGAAAATACAGGTAGTAAAGCACACACACAAATACTTTCTCATGCAAAGGTAAAACTTTCTTCAGGAAATAGCCATTAAAGGCTGTCATACTAACCTGGAGTACTACCATAATGTTGCATCAGTAATTTTCACATGACAACACACCTTTTAAATGAAAAAAGTAATTACCAGTTAGCACACCCTTCAAAGAAGCAAAAAGTCACTCTAATCGCTCAGCTACTAAAAAAGACTCCTGAAAGCTACTCAGCCTCCTGAACTACCTTAAAGATCTGCAGAGTACAAAAATTTGCAAAACTAGCCTGTGCTTCTCCTCCTGCAGTTATCCTACATTTGATTTTCCCTGATCCTTTGGGTTGTACAGTCATAAATAGGCAAGAAAATTAGATTTGATTTTGATCCAGGTGCAGAATCTAAATAATTAGAAAATGGGGAAAAAATAAATTAAAATAGGGATTGTCATTAATATCATCTACCCCCTACAGATATTGTGACATAGCTTGCAGGGCCCAAAGAATGTTCATTGTTACATAAGTTCTTATTAGCATGCTGGGAACTGCATTAAGCTCAATATTCCTTTGCCCAACAAATTCTCTACCTATAATTACTCTAACATACACACATTTGTAACAGTTTCCCTAAAATGAAAGACAGGGAAAAACATGAAACCTGTGTGCACCCTGAGTACGCAAGTTACAAGTTTGAATGCCTGCATAACCAAAATGAGATACAACCATTTATGCAACTAATTACAGTGCTGTGGATAATGTAGTTTAGGTACAAACTGCCAGTAGTCCCACTTCAATGTTTTACAAGACTACCCACAGCTCTTCCTCCTAACTTAATTTGGCTGACAACAGAAATCAGTAAAACCTGAACACAAGAAGGAGGAGTTAAAAGTGAACGGGATTGAACAGATGTAAATCAGGAGGAGCCTACAGGTAGTATCCAGGCATGTGAGAAAATCAGGTAAACTTTCTCTAACTTCATTTACTCCATTTCAAAATAACGTTTTGGTTCTGGCTTCACATCTCCCAGTGACTAACACATCCTAGTCTTTGAGGGCCATGCTGGCTTGGTGACTGAAGAAAAAAAAATAAAATCAGAAAGGATGGCTGTGACTTGGTTATTGAAAACTCTGTCACCTCTATTTCTGTCACGCCATAGCTGAATATTTGAGGTTTGTGCTGAGTTATGGGCAAAAGCATATAAGAATTGTTTGAGTGTAAGCTCTGCAAGATCGGATGGACTTGCTGGAGTGACTACCTGTCGGTTAGAAAATCCTGTCAAAATAAGACAAAGATGGGAAAACAAGGCAAACTGGAAGAGACAAACCATCCTGTCTGTTTATTTTATCTGAAGCAAGCCATTCAGAGTTGTCAGCTTCTTTATCTCTGCACAGAACATTCTAATGCAACTCTCATGTTTTTCAAAAGTCACAGACCAAGCAATAAACTATGTCTCAGCCAGAGGAATCCGCTGTCAATAATAATGGGAACTGCTAAGAAAAGTGACGGACTTGCTGCACTGTTTTCCCACCTCATTTATTTCTTATTTTTAATCCACATTGAATCTAAAATGTCAAAAACCAGATATAAAATATTTTTTAAAGTAAAAACAAGAACTCTCCTTCATTTGAATTAAAAATATAGAGCAATACCGAATGAGCTTATTGAAAATGGAAAAAGATGTGATAGAGCAATCATTTATGATAAGGATAAAGCTAAAAAGGAGAAAGGAAAAAAGAGTCTGGGGACTGCAGTAGTCAAAAACCACATTAAGATATGGAATGTGATACTGTTACAAAGGCTAGTTCTGCTGGCTATTTGGTGCTTTGCAGTGAATATTGTGTTCCTGAATACTGTATTTTGCAAAATCGTTTGTGAATGTGCTATTATTAGGGAGGTTCTGCTATTCCCAGTTCACCTCCATGACTGAGTAGTTCTTTTTTTGGATTGGATATTGTATATTCCTTAGCTACAGAGCAAGCCCTGAACTTTTATTTAATTAGATACACAGTCATTGTGTATCAATAAACAACAATTCAACAAGCTGCGCAAGACCCATGACTCTGGTAAGCTTACATCTCTAAATTCCATTTTACTTTCTTTCCGCTCTGTGTTTTGCAGAGGTAATCAGAGTGGTGTAACAGAGATTTTGTATTGCTCATAACTGATAAACAGTGTAAAATTTGTAATTAAATATTTATCTTGCTCTGCATCTATTTAGCTACATAAATAGATGTGGGTCTGATTTCTGCTTTATCTAAAAAACGTGGTCAAGGCTGTTATCTCATGGAAGAGGATAAATTTACAGTCTTTTATATTTTATCTTAATGCCATATTAATGAATTGAACTGTTGGCAGGCACACAGTCTCACAGCACTCCAAAAGAACAGGAGCCCTTTCTCATATTTTTTCATAAAGTCAAGATATGGTATGACAGGCACATTGAATATTCGAAGATATTTCCCTCTGTTGGGAAACAGACCTGGCATTAAAAAATGACTGGATGTGGATTTCCACTGTGCTTAGAGATAGTTTAAAACTGTTTTAGTTTCCAATATGTGCTTTGTCAGGGAGAATGTTTGTCTGAAAACTGACAAACTCCCTGTTTAACGATACTGATCCAGGGAATGGCTACAAGTCCCTGCATTTGGCTTTTGAACATGCTTTGTACTCAGCTTTGCAGAGGAGTAAATGTTGATGTGATCTGTAAGTCAGAGAACCTACCACACTGTGTCTTAAGTTGTTCTGTGCACCTTCATTGTTCTCCTGATAACTTGACAGGGTATTTATCTCAATATCTTAGGGTTTTTTTTGTGTTTTGTTTTTTTTTTTTAAATGAATGCTATATTATTATCTTTCACAAAAGTACACTCACTGTGTATGTGAAATATTTAAAGCAGCAGGCAGATACAACAGACTGAAATTATGTTTGCTGCTCTGAAGGAAACCCACAAGCCCAAGCTAATATCCTTAACACTTAAAATATCTTAAAAAAATGTTAACATTTTATTCTTATTATAAATATTCTTATCACTTCTGTACAAAGAGAGCACCAGTGAGTAAATTAGATTTCTTTTCTTTCCCTTTGCCATTTCAACTCTCCCTTATTTTACCGATTCAAGGTTGCTCACATAAACCACTTCTAAGCAGTTCCATATCCAGGGTACAACTATTTGGAAAAAATACAGAACTGGCACAATTATTTAACTTTCACATAGTGCCATTATGAACCATTACAGAGTTACAGGTGATCTGTGAGCAGAAGGGAGATGTTTTTGTTATGGCTGTGGCTCACAATTTTGATACTGCTGTCGGGGAATAAAATAGACAAGGTAAATGCTCCTGCATA